CTCAGAGCCTGGAGCCTGTTTCAGTCTGTGACTCCCTCTCTCTCTGACCCTCCCCTGCTCACACTGTCTCTCTCTCTCTCCTAGAAATAAATAAAAATATTAAATAAATAAATAAATAAACAAAAAATAAAAATAAACAAACATTAAAAAAATTACATAAAAATTTACACACTGATGATCCCATTCATGTAAAATATTTTAAGACAAAATTATAAACATGAAGAACAGATTAGTGATTTCCAAGGTTTGGGGGCAAGGAGAGATGGGGATGACTGTAAGTGGGCAGCATAAGGAATTTTTATAGTCATGGAGCAGTTGTGTATCTTGATTGTGGCAGTGGTTATACCAATCTACATATGATAAATTGCATAGAATTACATATAGATACACAAATAAGTACATGTAACCTGGCAAGATCTGAATAAGCTCTCTGGATTTTTACCAATGCCATTGCCTGGTTTTGTTACTGTACTATAGGTATGTATGATGTTACCATTGGGGGGAGGTAGGGGAAGTGTACATGGGACCCTATGCACATTTTTAAAATTTTCTGTGATCTATATTTCAAAAGAAAAAAAACTACAATTATGTAACAACACTAAAATACTTCTTATATAACCACTTCTTGTAAATGTTAGTTTAACCTAACATTCATTGTAAAAGTTCAGAAATTCTTGACAAGTTAGAGTTGTTTTGGTTAGGATTTACTGGTTTATTTGTTCGTTTGTTTTTCAGTAGCACCAAGCTTTTCAATAGTTTCTAATGTAAAAGAAAAAAGTTTGGGGCGCTTGGGTGGCTCAGTCGGCTAAGGGTCTGACTCTTGGTTTCAGCGCAGGTCATGATCTCACGGTTTGTGGGATTGAGCCCCACATCAGGCTCTGTGCTGACAGCATGGGGCCTGCTTAGGATTCTCTCTCTCTCTCTCTCTCTCTCTCTCTTTCTCTCTCTCTCTCTCTCTCTCTTTCTCCCTCTATCTCTGACCCTTCCCAGCTCACACACTCTCTCTCAAAATAAATAAATAAATAAACAAACAAACAAACGTAAAAAAATAGGAAAAAGATGAGGGGTAAATAAAAATTGCTTTTAGCAGGCAACTAAAATTCTGAATTAAGTATTTGGAATTATGGGTATTGCAGTTTCCTCTTTTATAAGTAATTACTCTTTTTTCCTTTTTTGTAAAAAAATGTATCTTTCATTTTTGAGAGAGGGCAAGTGGGTGAGGAGGAGGTAGACGATCCAAAGTAGGCTCTGTGCTGACAGGCTAACAGCAGCGAGCCTGATGTGGGGTTTGAACTCAAGAACTATAAGATCATGACCTGAATCGAAGTCAGAGGCTCAACTGACTGAGTCACCCAGGTGCGCCTCATTTTTCTTCTCTTAGTTAAGATTGGTTTCACCAAACTTGAGATCTTCTACGGTGGAAAACAACATATATTAAACAATACATGGAAAGTAATAATAATAGTTAGACTTACCTGGCTATCACTACCTACCAGATACCATTATAAATTATTTATACCTACAAAAACATTTAAACCTGAGAATAACACTTTGCTACTGATTTTTAAATATTCCCATTTTATAGATGAGAACAAAAAGACAAGAGCTGTTTCACAGGCAGAAATGCTGCACCTTTTTACAGACTTTCTACTATAGTTACATTTGCAGAAATCTCTTAAGCAATGAACTTTGGGCTTTTAAAGCTTTTCTTTGATTAAAATAGTATTATCTTAATTTCTGTCATTAGCAATAATTTGATGGACCATTTGTTTTATTTAGTTTACCGTCTACTCATTTGCTCTGTTTTGTTCAGAAGGCAGAAAATGAAAGAAAGACTATTTCCAGGCACCTATGTGGCTCCGTTGGTTGGGTGAGGGACTCTTGATTGTGGCTCAGGTCATCATTCCAAGGTGGTGATTTCCAGTGCTGAGCATAGAACCTGCTTGGGTTTCTCTCTCTCTCTCTCTCTCTCTCTCCCCTCTTCCCATCCCCCACATGCTCAATCTCTCTAAAATAGAAAAATAAAAATTAAAAAATTTTTAAATTTATTTATATTTATTTTTAATTTACATCCAAGTTAGTTAGCATGTAGTGCAATAATGATTTCAGGAGTAGAATCCAGTGATTCATCCCCTATATATAACACCCAGTGCTCATCCCAGCAAGTGTCTTCCTTCATGCCCCTTACCATTTAGCTCCTCCCCCCACCCATAATCCCTCCATCAATCCATAGTTTGTTCTCTGTATTTAAGTCTCTTAAGTTTTGTCCCCTTCCCTGTTTTTATGTTATTTTTGCTTCCCTTCCCTTATGTTCATCTGTTTTGAATCTTAAATTCCACATGAGTGTAGCCATATATTTGTCTTTCTCTAACTAACTTACTTCACTTAGCATAATACCCTCTGGTTCCATCCATGTTGCTGCAAATGACAAGATTTCATTCTTTCTTTATCGCCAAGTAATACTCCATTGTATATGTGTACCACATCTTCTTTAGAGTAAAGAAGAAACACTATTTTGAAAATTACCATGTCTTCCCTTGATTTAAACCCATGTAAAATATGTGAGAGTGAAATGAAATTTAATTTGAAGCTAAAATGAAGAGGTTGAAATTTAACTTACCACTGGTGCTCTGACAGGTGTGCAAAAATATCTGATCTTCAAGTTTCTCTCCGTGAAGCCGTCGTCTTTGCTGTCATCTATATAACTGGAGTGATCTGACAGCACCGCTGGAGCAACAGCGTGCTGGGAAAACTGGGAAGTGTGCACCAAACACTAAGGGTAGCACAGGTACTCTGCCATCTCGCAAGCACAGCCGTGCACACGCAGGCGGGCAAGCGGACTTCTGAGCGGCACCTGGCCCCCAGATGCCAGGGCTTCCGGACAGCAACCAGAGGTGCGTGCCAGAACACTTCCGGGAGGCGTCTGGAGCCCGGGGCAAGCACTTCCGGGTGGCACGTGGCAGCGCGGGCGGCCCTCTGGCGTGTCTCGCCTGTGGTAGTCGTTCACACCACAGGAATCGGCGGAGGCTTGTGCCATGGCGTCTCGGTATGACCGGGCAATCACTGTCTTCTCCCCAGACGGACACCTTTTCCAAGTGGAATATGCCCAGGAAGCGGTGAAGAAAGGATCCACAGCGGTGAGCAATGAACTTCACCACCGCTGCGGGTGCCGCAGCCCAAGGCTCCGGTGAAGGGGGTCAGGAAGGGAGAGCCGCCCGCTTGTGAAAATTGCCTCGTTCTTTTTATTGACAGAGATGCCCTTTCTGAAATTTGAGTGGGAGGCGGCGGCGTGAAAATTGGTAGATTTCATAGGTGTGTAGCCGCTTTTGAAGCATAGCTCCAGACACAAAACTAGAGTGTGCGTTGAGGCCTGATTTTAGAAGCGCTGTTAATGCCGTGCCTGGCAATAAGGGGAGAAAAGACTTCTTCCAGCCGGTGACAGCCATCCTAAATGCACAGAAGCCACTTCCGCAGGAATTCACAGATGCGTCTAGCAGTTCCTTCGTGTGGGTGCTGATGTCTAGTGGTAATTACATTAAAAGTAGACCATGCCTGCCCCCGAAATAGGAAGAGTCAACGTAAAATTGAATCTCTTGGTGAGGAATTGGTCAAAAACGCCAACACTTGCACCTGTTAAAAGTAATTGTCCTAAATTTTTCACCTGCATATTTGGCAGTCTTTTAGAGGCTCTAAGCCCCATGAAACTCTGTTCTCTTGCCACTTTTTTGTTATTGTTCAAATAATGCTGGAATCCCTTGAGAGATTACACCCTACATTATATTTATATATCCACGTTTCTAAAAAAACTTTTAAATACTCAGGATAGCAGTAATTTTCCTGCCAAGTTTTAATGATATTTAATAATCTTCGTGATTTATAAAAATTAAAAAGGATAATCTTGTCCTGGTGATCAAAGATCTATTGCCCCAAATCTTCTAAGTTGTAACATATGAATTCAGAAGGATCCAATTTTTTGTAAATCTCTTGAATTTCCTGAGCATGTTTGTTTTGTATTTTGGAAATTGATACACTAGCTATGAGAATACACAGTGCATTTCTAAGTGTAGCAGTGTCTGTATTTTCCCCCACTTTCCATACCAATTTAGTATGGAAGGAAATAATTCACTTTTATTACAAATCTATCAAATGTAAAGTGGTAAAAAAAAATAACACTAGAAAGAGTCTTATCATTTTTAAAGTATTCTTCTATTTAATTGGGCCCTCTAGTTTTGCTTCTGTTTTATAAGTAATTTTTTTAGAATTGTAAATTTAAGAAAAGCCTGATGTAGCTTAAACCAAAAGGGTGCCATTTTGATAAAAACAAAAAGTTATGTAATCCCCAACAAGGCATGAAGCATATGGTTAGAAAATAATGCCCAAGTTTTAGAGCCTAAAATAAAGGAAGTAATGGGAGAAGACTGGGGTGTAATAAGAAGCCACATTGGCTCATTTAAAATGTTTTAAGATTGCTATAGAACTGATTGATAGTTCCTTTGTAATGAGCTGTAAAAGGGTAAGGATATAAAAATACCTATAGTGGGCATTTTTAAAGATACATTGGAAGGATGAGACAGTTTCATCTCAGGATTCTGAAATTATAATTTGCATCTTTGCATGGAGTTGTTCATTGTGTTTCCTTAAGGGTGCTATGACCTTTTATGAGGGGTAAAGTTTATGATAGCACTTATTTATTAGAATATGTCACAAAATATTCCGTCTACAAACAATCGTTGCTATGAAGACTTGTAAATAAGCCAAGGCTGACCAGTTTTGACCAGCATGTGGATGCAGTATTTTTTAGTAATACAAGAAGTTATGGGGACCGCAGTTAGAGGCCTGGGCTCTACTTCCTTCTTATTATCTTATAGCATGAAATGAGGCAAGAGGCCTGTTTTCTTTTTGCTTTAGTTCCCTTTTTTATAAATGAAAAATATGTTTGAATAACATCTTGGAGAGGTAATAGCTTTCTTCTTAGGAAAAAAAATAATAAATCCTTTACAGTGTTCCCCTGAAAAAGCTAAGATTTATTACCATTCCTTTCCCTGACCCCAAACTGTTACCAACTCCATGTTTTCTGCTTTTTCAAGTCTTAGCTTCACATTCTGGCCATCAAAGTCTTCCATCATCCTTATCCCTCTTTAATTAAAGGGGCAGCTTCATTGTTGTACCCATATGTGTTTGTACCCTTGTAGGTGAGTGGAGGAGAAAACACCTTTATTTCTGCCATACTCCCTCTTATTTATCCTTTGAGAATCTCCTTCTAGTTCATCTCCTTGATGAAGCCTTCTCTGATCCACTCCAGCCATCATGGGTCTTATTCTTTTCCTGAAGTTACAATCTTTATCTACTCTTAGGCCTCATATTCACGTTATTGTTAATTTTTTAAATGTTTATTTATTTTGAGAGAGAGCACAAGCAGAAGAAAAGCAGAGACAGAGGGAGAGAAAGAGAATCCCAAGCAGGTTCTGTGTTGTCAGCGCAGAGCTTGATGCAGGACTGGATCTCACAAACCATAAGATCATGACCAGAGCCAAAAATCAAGAGTCAGACCCTAATCGACTGAGTCGGTTACCCATGGACTCATATTCACTTTATTTTCAGGTCTATTTAATAGTCTTCACACACCAACTGGATAGTAAGGTCTTTAAGGATCTAGGTAGCCTAATTCCTCTTGCATTTGTATATATACCACATGATATATACTACAGTGAGGGGGCTAGGTAAGAAGTAAGCATTTAAGTAATATTTCTTTTGTACCAAATATTTTATGCACATTATGTAATGTTAAGGACAGAATTTAAATCCCTTTTTATATGTGTGGAAACTGATTCAGAAGCTATGATACCTTGCTGAAGGTACTGGGCTAGAAAGTGATGGAGCCCATATTCACACTTATTTTTTCTAGTTCCAAAGCCTCTGCATTGTACCATGAAATTTGTTCAATAAATAGTTGTATATTAGCCATCATTATCATGAATTTGGAAGGCAAGTATGCATCATATAAGGCAGCTAACTTCTCTAAGCTACAGTTTCTTTAATAGTAAAACAGGCAGCAAACTAGCACCTGCTTTATAGGGCTGATAATGAGTTAAGGGAATAATACATGTTAAGCATCTTGCACAGTGTCTGGTTCACAGCAGCTATTTAATAAATGGTAGCTATTATTATTTACTGTCCCTTTGTTTTCTCTTTTCCCTTCACTTTTGTCTGTGGTTCTTCTAACACGTTCATTTTTGTTGGGCACTTACATATGCCAAACATGGTGCTGGGTTTGGGGGTTTCACAATGAGTAAAATAGACTCAATCCCTGTCCTCAGAGAGTTTACCATCTAGCGGGAACATTAGATGATTAAGTGAATAGTCCTAATGAGGCCTAAATGAGTATTATAATGGGGAGAATATGGGGCAATGTGGGAACCCTAGATCTTACGGAGGTTCTCCTAAGGAAGTAGTATTGAAGTAGACACCTGAAAGATGAACGATAGCCAGGTTAAAAAGTGGAAAGAAAGAGGAGTATTTTAGACAAAGGAAATAGCATATGGAAGACCAAGCAGCAAAAGACAACAATGTTCTGTGAATTGGAAGGCATTCCAGATCACGGAAGCAATGTAAAAAAATAAAAAGAGAGAGAGAGGGAGAGACAGATAAAACTAGAAAGAAGGGCTAGATCATAGAAAGACTTTAAGAAAGTAAGAGGCGTTGAAGGGTTTTAATGTGGCTATTGTCATTCTCTAGATAATTGCTGATCTGTCCTTCTAGTAACAGACTGCGTTTGTCCAAACACAGAGGCACTCACACGACTCAGGTAGAATCATTCATAGTTTCTATCCTCCTGTACACAGTGATGAGCGTGTGACTCGAATCTAGCCAATTTAAGTCCATCCTTAGGACTTTTTTTAAACTAGGGATAGTGGTAGCTTTTTTTCTCTGGGACAACTGTTGGGATGTGTGTCCAAGATTGCCAGTGACCATCTATTTTTTTCTGTAACAGAGAAAGTTTTTGTGCATTGAGAGCAAAAGGCCAATATGCAAAGAGTAAATATTACAGTCCCTAGATCTTTCGGTTCCAAGTTCAGTTCTGTGCTGTCTCAGTTTGCTTAGTGAGAAATGGTCCTTACTAGTACAAGTTTTTAAGTGGAAAAATGCCACATTCAGATTTTCTTTTTTTTTTTCCATGTTTTTATTTTTCAGTGATTTCTCAGACTTTAATGTGGTCAGTGGATTGGATGATATCAAGACTGGAAGCAGGGAAACCACAAAAGAGTTTATGAAGTAATCCAGGTGAAAGATGATAGTTTTCACTAGGGTTGAGGCAGACATGGGAATAAGGCAGATTCTAGAGAAACTTTAGTGGCATAGTTGATACAATTTGATTATTATTTGGATAGTATTGAGGGAGAGGAGGAGAAAAGGAGGTACTGAAGAGGGAGGAGTCAAAGATGGCACCTCTGTTTTTGGATTTAACCTTTTAGAAAATGGCTCCGTCATTTTCTTAAGGAATATGAGGCTTGACTGAAGTTTGACTGAACCATTGAGGTTTGGACTTGTTGAAATTGAAATGCTTATGAGAATTATAGTAGGCAGCCTCTAAAGTGACCTCCAGTGATCCCAGAATTCAGATGTTCATGCCCTTGTGTAATTCTCTTCCCTTGGGTGTGGGCAGAATCTAGTAACTCTCTTCCAGGGAATAGGAAAGGCAAAAGTGATGGGAAGTCACTTCAGACGTTAAAAGTTACAAAGACATGGTGACCTGTGTCTTGGTTATCCTCTTTCACTTTCACTTGCTTGTTCTTCTGGCATGTGGTTGCCATTTTGAGTTGCCCTATGTAGCAAGGAATTGAGAGAAGCTTCTGTTCAAAACACAGAAGGACCTGAAATCTTTAGCCCAACGATCCTTGAGGAACTGAATCTTGTTAACAATCATGTAAGGGAGCGTGGAATTGGAGTCTCTCTTATTAGCCTTGAGATGAGTAGAGCCCTGGAGGACAACTTGAATACAGGCTGTGAGAGACTCTAAGTTAGAGGGTAAACTGTGTCCAGATTCCTGACCCACAGAGACTGAGGCATGAGTATACATAAATACACCTGTCTGGAACTCAGGAGATTGATCTGCACTGGAGACAGTAATTTTGAAGGG